TAGCTGTTGGGGAGGTGCAGCAGGAAAAGGGATGTGCACCTTGAGAGGAGGATCCTGTGCAGCCCCAGAGCTGCCTTGTGCCTGGCCCTGTGATGGCTGAACATGCATTGTGCAGTACCCAGGGAGCCAACTGAATGGCTGCAAGGCAACACCGGGGAACAAGGATGACCCTCTTCATCTGTAGCTGAACTTTATCACCCTCCTTTGACAGTATGTGCTTCTACTCCTACCAACAACCAAATTAAAAATGAAACAAGAGTAACTGCAACTCAACATCCAGTTTTAAATGGCTCAACATCTATCCTGAGATGCTTAATCTAAAGTGTCTCTTTGAGTTTTCTGCAGCTCTACTAATGCCACACCACTGCGGTAACGTTCTTTCAAATGTACAAGAAAGAAGTGTAAATTGTGGCACTGACCGACTCCGACTTTTTCAGTAGAATACACCAATGCAGTCATTCTCTGGCTACAAATATCCACGGGAAGAATAGATGTGTCCTTTAATAACAGGGAGAGTGCTTAAAAAAGAACACTTTATTGCAGTGTTGCCTTCACCACAGTAAATTGCAGCATTTTCATTTTCCTATATTTATTGCAATGAAGTGTTTATATCACTGTGAAGCAAATATTTGTTTTCAAAGGTCACTCATTGTATCTCTCTTCCTCTGGGGATATATGTAAGTCTCTCTTAGACATCAGTATAACTCCATAAGGATATACAATGTTCTCTCTATGAGATTCTTTATTGCGTCTGAGCACTAAAATAGCAGATGCAGAATTCAAAGTATAATAGGCAATGCATTTCCATTAGCCAGTCTCCCTTTGTATTTTTCTTTAACCCTTAGTTGGTTGTGCTTCTGTACGAGCACTACGTAATGCATAAGACTGGTTGACAGGGAATTTGATGTAAGTCACTCAAGTCCTCAAAGTGGCTTGTGTTGTCTAGAAGATACAGAGCCCAGGTTGGTATGTGAAATACACAGTATTTTGCAGCAATGTTTGGACTTTTGTCTTCTTTTAAAAGAGCACCCTGTATGTTTGAGTGTGAACCCAGAGGATTTCCTTTCCCTTTTCTGAAATGGAAAAACCAAGGTCCTTGTGAAATTTTGAGCTTGCATTTGTATATATGATTATTGCAAGTATAAACACAAACTGACTAAGTCTGTACAACTGGCTGTAACTTCTGTAGCAACTTTTTTTAATCGAAGTTTTAGATCTAAAGAGCTTAACATATATCACAACTTCGGTTTTCTGATCTGTCATCTCTGCAGTGACAGCAGACAAAATAAAACGTAGTTTATGTTGAAAATACAGAGTACATGTTGGATACTTTATTTCCATTTATATTAGGGTTTCCTAAGGCAATTATAGCATTTTGATACTTGTTTCAAATCAGCTTGAATGAGAACAGAATGTAAAATGTCAGCTGTTATAAAAAATATGAACTCAGCAGGGAACTTATTACCCAGAGTCCTCAATAGTATCTTTGGCCTATTCTCATTCTACCGAAATAAGAGCAGGTTTCAGTGGGCCCAAGACAGACGGATAATTTATGCTTTTGAAAGTCTGTCCAGTAATCAGTGAGAGCAAATCCCTCACGGTTTACCTTTTCTTGGCCATTTCTGCAATTATTCCGTTTCAATGTTTTAATACATCAAGAGGACTTCATAAAGGTGTTCCTAAGAAACACCATAGAGGAAAAAGAGTTTATTTGTACTGTAGAGAAAAAATTCCCTTTAAAACATACATCTCTCAACAGGATTTTATTGATAACAGGGCTTGTTTTTGGAAATTCATGACACTGGAATGGAATTTCAGCCTAAAATGGGGCTTTTTGAGGAAAATCCTATCTCTGATTTGTCCCATTCCACACTTCAAATTGCAAAATCAGCAAAAATTTTTAACTTATTCCTAGCCATCTGCAAAATGTATGTATTTTATCATACCGTGTGCAAATCAGTAACCTTTATTGATTCTTGTGTACAGATTTCTATTAAATAAAGTTGAATCAGCACTGCTGCAGGGCACTTCTGTTTATGACTAAAACTTGATGTAAAATGACTTGTCTGGAAGAATGCTTTTTGCTATTTCTCAATCCATTCTAAGTGCTTTACAAATACCAAACAATCTCAATAAACCTGTCAAGTTTGATCATTTGCTACAAAACAGCTTTCTGGTTACAACCTCTGACTTTTTTTTCAGCTTGATGCAAAATAGAATGCATCTGTCGCTTAAGATGCCAACCAATGGTTCTAACTAGCCAAGAAGGGTAACTCTAACGAAAAATCACAAAATTTCTCTACTTTGTTTCTTCTTTGCACCACCCAACATCAACACTGGCTCATGACCAAAAACTAATAAGTAAAAGATCAAAAGTCAGGCTGGAATCTACTTAAGCACTGAATTTTCTGTGCCATTTTTATTATCTGCAGTGACTGACAAACAGACTGTATTATCTGTTACTGTTAGAAGAAGCACTCATATCACCTTCACTCGCTTACACGTCTGTAATCATTCAGCTCACATGGGATATACCTAGAGACTGAACCAAATTCCCTGTTAGCATCCCACCCTCCCACTGATGAATCACCTCCCACTTGCAGCTAGGAAGATGCTACTGGATAGCCATAACACAGAACCAGTTTCCTGCCCCTCACAGCCAGATGTATGTATAAATTACATCAGTCCCAAGGTCTTGTCTAAATTGTCCTGATTTTTGCTAAAGCTCAGTGCTGTTATTCTGCCAGCACAAGTGCAGTGAGGGATCCAGGCAGAGGGGAATATTTTAACTAAATATTATAAAACTAGGTCCACAGACTTAATCCTGATATTCTGTTGCAGAAGCTGTGCCAGAAATATGTAAATGCTGAGTTCTGCTTAAATCTGGAAAAAAACATAATTTATAAAGCAGTGACCAGTGCTAGTTCCAGCCTGTGCCAAGTGGGACAGGAGTTCAGAGAGCAGTTCTTTACCAAAAATAATTTATTTTTATCCCAGCTGAGCATACTGCATTTGCTGATCAGGAGCAGTGTCTTCCAGGAGCTGCGTGATGTGCCACAAAAGGAAATGCGAGTGCAGCAGTGAGGCGAGAACGTTGGGGTAGCCTTGAGAGTGTCCCCACACTTTCACATGGCCTTCAGGAGAAGACCAATTCCTGGCTCATCTTTTCCTCCTAATCCTCAGAGCATGCCATTTTCTGTAAAGCTTATGTACTGCTGCTTGTGAGCATCTTTGAAGTGCTTGATATCAGTGTGAATATTAGCCATGAAATTAAGCTCCGTGTTTGCATCAGCTGGGGCTGCAGATGAGTTGCTTAAGCTTGGTCCTTCGCACCGCTGTGACCATGCAGCTGGCAGAAGTGGGTGGGCGGGCTTCTCCAGCACACATTTGGGCTCCTAAACATTGTGTGACCCATCACAAAATGTCAGTCTCCCTTTGACAAGGATGTGGTGATGTGCTCAGTGATGAAAGTAAGATGCTGTGCCAATAGCTGCAGGGCTGACTCTTTCTTCCTTCTGTAGCTTCAGAGAGGAAAAGCAACCACGAGTGAGGGCACAGCTAATGCAAAAGCATGAAGGTCACATACTCCCTTTTAGATAAGAAAAACAGCAAGTCCGTTGTTGAAGCTGCAGAGGAAATGGAAGGAGCTGTCTGTTTTCCTTATACATTCCTAAGTAAACAGGAGGTGATCCAGGAAACCTCCCTGCCCCTCAGCTGTACCTGCTTATCCCATACTCCTTTTGTCCTGACAGGGAGCATTGTCAAAGGGAGGAACAGATTAATCTTCAAAAGATAATAACTTCCATTTAAACAGAGTTATTATTATTAAAATTTTAGAGACAGGCTCTGCCCTGACTTATCTTGTTTCATAAAGGCTGCATGTATCACAAAGACAGCACAGAAAATAGCCCCTGGGATTTTGCCTTCTTAGGGCAGCTTTGCTGAAAGGGGGTGCTTTTGTCCTCTTTCTGTAACTGAGCATGATGGCAAGTGCTTTATGGCTGTTTATTTGCAGTCCCTCACAACTTCCCCACCTCCTCTGCACCTGGAATTAGGTTTTCCTGCAATGAACAAATCTAACAATCAGTGAGCAGTAATTTGCAATGTGCCACGCTTGAAACAAGCAAAGAAATAACCCAGTGTTGTTGTTATAAAGACCTGACAGATGGTAGGAGGACACACCTTTCTTAATCAAGTCATGCTCAGTAAACAGAGCTAGCTCGAATTTATAACAAAAAAGAAACCCTACCCAAATTAGGATTAATGGGCTGCATTGTGCTCTCTGGTTAGGATGAGTTCAGTGGTGGTGTTCTGCATTGAGAGGGAAAACCAAAATCAGAATCTGACTCACTTTGGGGAAAAGTTGAAAATACCAGTTAGGTCCTGCTGTCACTTCCCCTGAAATGAAGGATTCTCCCAGGTAAACAACTTCTCCCAGTCTAGCTGTAAATAGTATTTCAGAGTCTGAACTAGAGCATGGTGGACAAGTCATTAGCCAATAAAAATCTGCAAAGTTTCATTGTCTTTGATTTCATGGAAGATCTATTAGCTGAGCATCCAGCCCTCCAAGCAATGCAGCTGAAATATAGGATATGAGGGACACAGACTTGACCTTGACCTCCTTCATGTTAAGGCTTTTAATTCTAGAGAAGAATGAATGGGTCTCAAGACTGTTTCTGGTAGCAAAAAATACCTCCTGAGTCTCCAGCTTTGATATGAATAGCATTAGAAAGGCAAAGAAAAAGGTAAGGATTCTCCTCAAAGAACATGACAAGGATACATCCTTATTCTTTGAGAGTGATTAATAATAAAACAGTGACAAAACACCAACTTGAACAAACCTGTGTGCTCTCTGCTATATAGGAATTGCTACCCAGAACCAAAGAGTTTGGCTGAAGGCATTAATGTCATTAAAGCACTTTTGTGGGACTGACATTTAAGCAGAATTCTGTGAGTCAGGGAGAACTAACCACACTGTTTCTTTCCCTTTTTGCTGTCTTCCAGGCTCACAAGCAGCTGAGTGCAAATCCTTGATCTGCAGCTTCCACAAATACACACACAGCTAAAATGGCGGAAGACGCTGATATGCGCAATGAGTTGGAAGAAATGCAGCGGCGTGCTGACCAGCTTGCTGATGAAGTGAGACCAATAGCTAACAGGAAACTTGGGGATGGGTTTGATGGTATTTCTGGATGTATACCCAGAAATAGGAGCTGATCCAGCAAAGGATTTCTAGAGCTGATTCTGTTTTCTATTAGCTTTCCACTAAAAGTAGAATTGGAAATTAAATGAGACGAGGTAAAATTTAATGTCATGTTTAGTCTAGATTAAGGCATTTATTGATAGTGAGTTTAGTTTAGGTATTAGAGTCTGCATCAGTTTGACTGGCCTCAGAGCAAAAAGCAGCAATCTAATCTTTTCTGAGCATTCTTTAAATCTGCCAAAACTTATAAATGTTAAAAGTCAGCAATTAGGTCTCTGAAAAGTCTGAGCTGAAAACCACAGTCTTTATTTTTAAAGTGGAACACCAGCTGTTCCAAGCACTACTGCCGCAATGTGTGAGCAAGGGGAGTGCAAGCCTCAGAGACTGCAGCTGCCTCAGGATGCAGCGGGAACTGCTGCATTAGTAAGCTGTAACACAGAGCTGAAGATGAAGAGATCACCAGTACTCTGGTGATGGCTTGATTTTGAGGGAAGTGTAGGAAAAAGATACTGTCAGCATGAGCCTGCACATTAGTGTTGGAAACTGTGTCTTGCCAAAGCCAAGTGTTTTTTCCTCTGTTTTTTTTCAGTCCCTTGAGAGCACCCGTCGAATGCTGCAGCTTGTTGAAGAGGTAAGGACTTACATTTTATTTGCACTTCTATTGTGAGAAAAACTGATGGAGAATCTGACACTGGAAGTGGGGGTTTTTTAACTCACATTGCTAGGGCATGGCCATGGCTTCATGTGCTGTTCCATCCCTCCTTATCCTTACCCTCTTACGATGGTCATTCAAGACACTGTGCCCTAGTTGTCAAGTGCCACACTGCAGACCAGCTGCTGAGGTGCTGTTTTGCCCATCCCTGAGTATCCATTGAGACAGGTCACTTGAGTTGAGCCAAGCAAGCAGCCTCTGAAGGTGACCTGGAGTCAAGGACAAGTGGCTGAGTTTGCTGCAGAGCTCCTGGAGCCTCGTGCTGACACCGCTCTGATGTCCTTGCCATAACACTGCAAGTGGGGAAGGTGAGAAAGGCCCTCGGTCTGTTTGCCCTGTCATCTCTAAATACTTCCCTCTCCATAAACGCTTGCAGCTATTTGTAGAGCATTGTTCACCACAGCATTTATATGCCACTTTATGTATCTCTGAAACATTTATTAGGATTTCAAGGCTCACTAGATGTCCTAGTTCGATAGCTTTGGAAAAGGAAGTTCTCTGATTTTCCACAGTGCTAAGAAAGGGGACCCAGGTTTGGTCCTTACAGCTAATACAGCTTATACCTGGCTGGAGGGGTCACTCCCAGAAGGGAAAAAAACAATTTGGTTAGGCTTCATTTCACCATCTTCAAAACAAAGGAGTTTAAAAGTTGGAAATACCCAAACACAGTTTAGTTTAGAGTGTTCAGCCATCAGATGGTGGAAAACTTTGCTCCTGCCTGACAGGACATATTATTTTCAGACACCATGTGAGTCTTGGCTCCCGAGCTGGTGACATTTTTAATCAGGGCCATCAGCACTGACAGTCCCAGTACTCCTGACAACCAGAGGAGTCTCCAGCAGAGACAATGGGAAGAAAATTACATCAGGTCCCATGTTCAGGAACAAGCACAAGCCCAGCCGTAGGCTTCATGGCCTTGAAATCAATCATGACTGTGGAGATCAATGGAGTCCAGCGGAGACAAAATTAAATTTCCTTGTGCAGATAGACAGATGGGTCATTGAACATAGTCAGCGTCACTTCTCTTCCACAAACATTTCAGATCTGGGCCCCTTGCTGCCAAAACATGCTCTTGTCTCACGAGCAATCTGTCCCTTTTTGCTGCTCAATGGACATGCCATTTCTAACCATCACTTTATGTCATCTCTATGCCAGAAGCAGCTTCTGCTGAAATCAGTTCAATGACAAGGAAGAGAGTCTCACATGGGTACCTCCACAAATGCAAGGCAGGAGAGCCTGCTGCCCCAAAATGCCTGTGATCTAAATAGGCAAGACAGATGATGAGTGGGAAGAAAGAGAGGTGCAGGAAAGGGAAAATATTTGCTCAGGGCCAAGTCATCAGTAAATATCAGCCCCATCTCTCCTGAGCTGTATTTTTGTGACCTATGCACTGCTTGAGTCTTCCTAACATATTGAACCAGCATATTGTGAATGCCACTGGAATTTCAGTATTAAATCATGGCAAATGGCAAAGTGGGAGGAGAACTGGGACTGCTGAATTTGCCAATGAATTTATGTAGGATTCTAGCGCTTCTTGGAAGAGCTCAGCATCTCTCTGAACCTGGCTTTTATTCAGATGCTACAATATCTTCCTGTCCAAATAGGGAAGCTTCTAAAACACTCACTGAGTAGTCAATGAATTCTTCTAAAGTGAGCTGAATATAATTTTCACTAATGTGACTATAAAGGACATTTAAAATTCTTCTGTGGTCTAAACAGTTGGTTGATTACTCCCATCCCATTTCCTACGTACTTTTAGAAGAATGCAGCATTTAAGGAGTGAGAGATTTTATACTGACAAGACAAATGGTGAGTATCTTTGAAATCGAGCTTGCTCTGCTGATTTAATAGACCCCCAAAATCCAATTACAGTCCTTTGCTTAGCAGAACCTGTCTCACTAGACAGGTGGAGATAGAAAATATTCTTTCTCAGTGGAAGAATGCTTTTTAGTCTGCTCTCTTGATACTGCAAATCTGTTATTCCTTAGGAAAAGGATTCCTCCATAGTTAAAGCATTATTACTATATACATATGTATGAATTTCTGTAATGGTTGGCTCCGCTTTGTTTGATAGTAGGAAAATACAGAATAAACAGTCTGACTTGCCTCCATTCCTGAGATAGAAGGGTGCTGTCCACCCAGGGAGACCCTATAGCAGTATAAGGCATCCTTAATGCTGAAATGGAGGTCATAGCCTGGGGAACAAAACCAACATCCCCAAAAGACTGTGCTCTCCTTGCCCAGGATGACTGAGTTTGGAGACTAAGACCTGGTGCTGTTCCCAGGGAATGTCAGCAAGGAAAACCAAATCTGTTACCACTGCTTATTTTTCTTAACCCAGCTTTGCAAGAAGCTGAATATTTCAGCCCTAGCACAACAGGGGAAGCAAGGAGAAGTGGTGAGTGGCTGTCATAAAGTTGCTACCGCTTTGCCCCAAGGCAGCTACATACTGAGATGTTAGATTACAAAAATCAGTTTGCTCTGTGGTGCCCAGCATATGCATGCAACACAGTTACATCTACACTGACCAATGTTCGTTTGAGCTACTCAGCTACTAACTGCTATAAATACCTGTATTTTATAATGATGCTGTGCAATGTTTGGGCCAAAATATAAAATCAAAATTAACTGAGAAGTGAGACTAAATACACAATTTGTAGCTGACCTTCTTATTTTCTTGTTCAAGTTTTTTACCTTCTGAGCCAGCTTTATAAAATTCAGAATAACACATGCAATAGGAAAAGCCATGAGTCTACTACCATCTTCCAGTGGAACAACCATGGCATTTAAAGAAAATCAATGGTTGTAGGGTGGAAAAAATAGATGGTTTCTAGCTATGATGGAGCAAGGGAAAAAATATGAACAAGATCAGTACTACAGAAAGCCCAGCAGGAAAGCACTTAGCAACATGTACAGACAAAAGAGCTGTTTTGTACATTTAAATCCAGACACAATTATCTTCTCCTCTCATATGCTGGGGAGTTAGAGTCAAGGTTACTAATATATCAAAGCTGAAATGGTAAGCTCTAAATGTTTGATAACCTCATGATGCTGCTGTACACAGAACACTGAACACATGGTATGCCATTTTACTAACTTTCTTAATTCTCAGTTGGGAAGTGAGTTTCCCCTGACATTAGTATCCCAGTCAAACGTTCCTTAGTCTGAAAAAGAAAAGAAAAATATATTCTATTAATTCAGAGTTTGGTCCGAAGCTTGTCAAAGCTAATTTGAAAAATCCCTTTACTATCATTAGCCATAAAAAGAGTTCTATTCAGAAAAGTGTTTTAATGTGTGTAATTCCACAGAAATACATATTTGTCATAGGGGAAGGTGATTCATAATTCTGGTCTCAGTTCTTCCCACACAGGATTATACCTTTTTGTCTATGTAAGCCAGTGGGGTAGCACTGGAATCAGGGTCATCACACTGGATAAAAACCAGGCACACAGAATTCGAGTAAGGGTACACAGATTCATATCGGCTGAGGATCTGAATCCCAGGGTAAATTAACAGGCTGAGAAGTAACATGACTTTAATTAGGCATGGAGAGATACTACAGTGTTAACAAGGTGATAGCAAACTTGGAGCAGGAGCTGAGGAAATGCATTACTGTGGATAACTAAAAGATGTTTCTTTGACCACATTTTTGTCTTTAGGGTGCTGACACTTCTCTTTAGTGAATCTAGGAACTGTTAGCAATGTCAGTCTGTCCTGGTATATCACTGTCTGTATTAATTTATTCAAAACAAACTCTGAAATCCATTTTAATTAAAGCAAAATTCTTCATCAAAGTGGAAGTTCATATGTTCTTCACATAACTGACGGTGTACATCTGTTTTTCAGGATATCTCCTGAAATGCAGAGAAAGTGATTTCTAGAATTTGGATTATCTATCTGATACATCATTCCCTTCTGCTGTTATGAAAATCACCACTCAGGCTAAACCAAAGTTGGAGTAGCTGCGTTTTGTAGCAGGCATAGGATGCAACACATTGTATTCCTTGAGGGGCTGATGGGCCCTTTAAGAAGTCATCCCAATTCTCTTCCTAGTTTTATTCCCACCCTGGGAAATTCAGCGAGATAACAGCAACAATAAGAAACAATACTGCAATGCATTTCCTCTCCAAAGTGCTGGGCAAATTTCAGTGAACATTTTGTTGCCAACTTGCTCTGAGTGAGACCCTGATAAAAAAAAGTTTTAAAAAGCTGTTGCAGAAGGTTGATGATAATGTCCATTAAAGCCTCCAACAGTGGTCCTAGTTTTGCTGTTAAACTGGCTTCACTGAAGCATTAACAGACTTCTAGATACTTAGATGATGTATCTAAAAGCTGAATTAAGCCTGGAGTTTTTTTTTAAATCATATATTCTCACTTTCTGATTGGTAGCATAGCCTGTGTTCCAGTGGAGAACTGCAGCATGGGCTTCACGGAAAGCATGTTGAACACAAACCGGGTTTGCTTTTCTCTAAACACTAGAGCTTAGTGCTACAGAAAGGTCATACTTCCATAAACTTTATGGGGTCTATATTCATGGTGCTCTTTCCTCTAATGTTAATTTTTAAAAGTTGAAAGTGATGACTTCCTGCTCTGATGGGTCATCTTGTGTGCAAAATTTGTCAGGTCTTTGCAGAAAAAGGGGTTGCAACCCATGGCAGTCTCTGCTTGAGTCAGGGCTGGGTATGTTCTCATTCCTTGAATCAGGGGTGGGTGTGTTGGAGCACTGCATGGGAAACATTATATGTTTTACCATTCACAGTGTACCAGCTTTATGGATTAACAGAGGAACTCCAGAGCTGTCAGTTTAATGCCTCAAAAAAAGCAACTTGTGCTGTGCGATTTTCTTCTAAAGGGCAAGAGTGTGAGATGCTTGCTGTACCGTGGCAAAATCCAGCAGTCCAAATTCTCCTCTCAAGTGCATCAGAAAGACAAGGAGAACCAAAAGTGTCTCTAGAGAGAGAAGGCTGTTTCTGATTTGAGAGCTGGATTAAAATGGCATGTTCTCCATGGGTCCTATGAAAGATGTATTTTTCTTCTCTCTAGCCTGAGCAACCTTTAGCATCCTATTTTTTTAGAATCCTCATTTTGCCACAAACTAAATGAAGAACTGCCTGTGCAAGGACTAGAGGACTGTAAGAAATTCCTTCGTTGCACAGAAAGGAAGGAAGACTCTAATTGTGGGGAAAGTGTATTATTAGCACACATTTTCATAACAAGATGGACCTTAGCAGTTCTATCCATTCATGGCTTCCCACATAGGATCTCCCTGATGCTGGTGAGAACCATTCCTAAGCCAGGACCAGACAAATCAAAGCATGGTCACCAGGCCCCTGCCATGACTGTGGCTCTTCTGCGAGCCTGTTATCAAGGTTTTATGATTGACTGTTGTAAAACACATTCTTCTGGGCTGGATTGTCACAAATACAGCTTTCATCACCTCCTGTTACACACTCTCTAAGCAACCAGTTCAAGTGCATCTGGTGACACCTGTCCCCACTGAGACCAGGGGGAGTTTCTGTGATAGTTTTCATGCAGAAAATCCCATCACTGTCTGTGTTTGGGCCCCAGACACACTTCTGTGGCACATTTCTTCCTCTATATTCCTTTAAGTGAAGAGGTTTTGAAGTTTCCAGACATGCCTCAGACTTTTGTCACTAAGAGTCAGTCACTGAGCGTTTCTCTCCTGCTCAGACATTGGGATGATAAGCACATTTTTAGAACAGGTCTGTCCTACAGAGATGGTTGGTTTTGAGCTATTTAAAAGATTAGTCACAATGGAAATATGGAACTTTAAGCAAAGTCTGGATCAGTTTTAAATGCACAAATGTGATTTGTTTTAATTGGCTTTCCATAGTTTATTTTTTTGTGAAAAGCTAAATATTAATGCCTAATAGAAACTTGGAACAGGACAACATTGTCACTTGATGTCTGAATCACCTCTCATCTTTGCCAATGAACATCTTTTTACTAGCCTCAGTATGCTTTGGATTAGACCTCAGATGCAGACAAGTATATTCAATGCACACCCTTTAGTATTTTCACATTAGTAGTAATGCTCTGGCAGTCTGCTCTTAAGAGATATAGTATTGCCTGAAAAAATTAAATGGCACTGATGGTCAGGCAAGTGAAAGAAAATTGCATCTCTTTCACTCTGTGCAAGGATCTAACATGAAATACAAACCATAATAAGGTCTAACTGCTGAGTTGATCTCTCAGCATATGTTTTATTAAGGTCACTGGACATCTTAGCTGCATAAGGACAATTTCCTCAGATGTTAAAAATTGCAGGTAAATAAGGGCAGAGGGTTAAGGAGCAGCAAATGCTTCTCAGCCTGACTGTTTGACTCACTGAAAGCCAACAACTATCATACCACCAGTGGCAGGTTTTCTGAGTCCAGTATTTAGAAGGGTTCTATGTCAGACTGTGTCATATTTACTCAGACACAAGATGACTTGGGACCTAAGCAGTCTCCTTGTGTTTGCATGAGATATGTTTAAAAAATATAGGGGGTAAAACATCCTTGGATACCAAGAGCATAGGAAGAGCACACTAAAAAGCTATTGTCCATCCAGTGCTTAGCAAATCTGACACCTGCCTTACTGAAAACGTAAGATCATTAAAGGCTGTTTCCTTACTTTAAATAGGTGAAGCTAAGATGACCCTTAGACCCTAAGTTTCTAAAGGTTGCAAAAATAAAAGCTGTCTGGGATTCAAGTAAAGGCATTATGAGTCTGAAGGAAGAGGGCAGGTACCTGGTAGATAGCTGAGCCAAGGACAGTAGGGAGCAGTAGACTGTGGGGAGAGGCAGGAGGCTTTTTCTTTCCACCTGGCAACTCACAAAGATTTACAAAAACCGAAAAACATGCACACAGTATCCAGGGGCAGCATCACAGATTTGCAGTGGGGAGGGGGGGAGGTCAGAGAATAAACCAGGCTGCACACATTGATGTTTTTCCCAGTTTGTACAGTGACGTAGACATTAAATACAAGAATGGGAGAGCAGAAAGAGGCAGACGAGAGCGCAACAAGAGGCATCTTCACATTCCTCTTGAATCAAACAGGATCCTCTTGAAGCAAAGCAGAGAAGCACCAGCTGCACCAGCCAGCCAGACCTCGAATGTGGCAGAGAGTCAGGCTCGCAGCTGAGCCACTGTGGGCAGTGTGCTGCAGGCCTGCCAGGGAGTGTCCTGAGAGCACAGACCAGGCAGATGAGGGCCAGAGACTTCACTGCTCCCAGACAAAGAGATGAACAAGGAGCAAGACAGTTAGAAGAAAGGGTAATATGAAGTCCTTAATTTGCCTGAAGGAGTGGGAAGATGGTCTGAGGCATGGTCAGGACTCCTGGTTACTGCTTCTCACGTTCCTGTGCAACTGTGGGCATCTCCCCTGCCCTCTGCAAAATAGGCACCACCAAGTATCTGCTTCACAGGGGTATGGATAGCTTCGCATTCATAGAAGCAGCTGTATTACTGCTGCACATGTCCAGGTAACTACCCTAGCAAGCTGTCAGGCCAGAGAGGACTTTACTTCATCTGTTCCTGACTGAAATGCAAGTCAATTATTCACAGACATTATCACTGCTTCAAGCAGAATGGAGCTAGTTTCCTCTTTGTAATTAAAAAGGAGCTAATCTCATTTGTGATACAGCTTAGTATTGCAGCACTCAGAAACCTGAGACACCTGATCACATCCCAGAGTGATGATAATACATGCAAAAACACTATTTGTGAAAGGTGCCCTGCCGCTGATGTAGGCAGGTGGGAGCTCTGAATTGCTCAGCTTTTGCTCAAGCCCTGTGTCCCACAAAGGTGATGGTAAGACTCCCAGTAACCTGCATGAGAGTAGGATTAACACATAGGTGTTTTAAAAATCCTGCCTTCAAGCTCAATCCAAAGTCCATTGATGCTGTAAGTGTCTTTTGATCAAACTAAACTTGGCTCAAACCCATATCTATTAGATCTCCAAGCTGAAAAATATGGCTTAATCCTATTAAATATTAGCCTGCTTTAAAATGGATTTCCTAAGTAGATAAGCTTTCTGAGTTCTGCGCTGCAAGGACTATGTACAAACCACTATGCCTCCTTGCCAAACATGTTTGTGCCATATCTATTTTCATTGGGAATCTCTCCTGTAGAATGAACGTTAACCTGCAGTGTCAACATGCCCTTCTTCCCTTCTCCTGCTTCAGAGAACTTGGAGATGAACCCTTTCTTTTTTAGAAATTACTCCTGTGTAAAGTGATTATTTTAATCTCAAAGTCCAGGACTTTGTGTTTTCTGCAGTAGCTCAGTATCCCAGTGAACCCTGAAGGACTGATGGTACAATTGACAGGACTCAGTTCCTTGTACAGTGTTCAGGCACGTAAGGTCTTAAGGACTTTGGACTGTGCCACCAGCCCCTTATGACCTTGTCATTCCTTTCACTGTTTTTCTTTTGTCTTCCTATGTCTCATATCTAGGGCTAAGTGTTCCCTCACTGATCTCTCTTTCTCTCTCTTTCTTTTCCCCCTCTGTCTCCTTACCTTGCTACCACTATTGGGATGTAGAGTAAAGATGCTGGTATCAGGACTTTGGTTATGTTGGATGAGCAAGGAGGTAAGTTCAGATTGCTTCACTAAGGAAGTATAACCATTCTCAAAGTAGTGTACTAACTGTGTGCAATCCTGAAAATGAGGACCATAAAACACATGTGTAGTTGTGCATGAGAACCCGAGAATTTATTTGCCTTTAGCTTTGTTGTCTGACAGAGAAACGTACAATAACTGCATAACAGTCTGAACTTCTTTTGATCTGTTTCCCATTAATGTCAAAGAGAGCTGCAGGCTGAACTCATCCAAATAATCTTTTTTTTAGCAAGCTTTGGGTCAAGATCCAGCTACACAGTGGGAAGATTTGACTTTTAAGTGTAAAATCCAACAGTATTTATGCAGGTGCCATGTGATTTTCTCATTTGTTTTAGCTACAAGTGAAAAGCATGCATTAAATGCAACCCAAGAGAAAGTAAAACAGGTTTAACTTGGGTAAAATTCAGTTGCTATTTGTATAGACATCTCAGCGAGCATAACAGAAATTTTAAATTAAAAGCTATGATGTGGTCAGCTCATTACAATTGACCATATAGGAGCTTTTAAGTATAGATGAGTCCCTGCCTGTGGATGACAAAGACAGACCCAGATACATCCAATACATTCCAGGAAATTACTATTTTGCCTGTTTATTATTAGAAAGAAGCAGGTAGCTTCCCCTCTCCCCTCCCAACAAAACTGATGTGTTATCTATTGCTGCAAACCCACAGCAGCAACACAATGGTGTCTCAAAAGAGAAGTCAAACCAACAGAGTATAAATTTCTGCTGCTTTATATCAAACCAGCCCCCAAAAAGACCTTATTGTTATTTACTATATGGCATGATACAAAACTGTTCTAGGAAATGTTTTCTACAGAGGTAATGCTATAATACTCATCAAGCCCAGACAATGATTATAGGCAATGGTATGGCGTTGTTGGAAAACGGACTGCAGAGCCTGATAGAACCCTTTTCATCTGTAATGTCCCTGCCTCTCTGGCACTAACATGAACAAAAAGTAATAACAGGACCTAAACAGAAAGCATTTTCTTCTATTTGCTTTTCTAGGTATGTCTCATTGCTTCTTAACCTCCCTCTTCAGGGAAAAGAATTTAACCTAACCAAATTTTGTTGCATCAATTTGTCTTGACAAGAAAAAAAATTACAGAGCATATTTTGTTGTCTTCTAAATCTTTTTTCCTAAGTAACAGCAGTAAAAGAACTAACACTGAATATAGAAAACCAAAAATTACTTATGTGGAAACAGATATGGCACCTGTCTAAATAATATATTTTGTTTCAGAAGGGAATTATACAGTTAAAATAAATCACAAATATTGTCAGAGAAAGTCTGTAAATACCCAGGCATGTCTTGCAATGTAATTCACAGGCAGATCAGCAGAAATTTTAGTGCTTCCTATAAATTCCCTTGTGTTTAGTTTTTGGAAAGTATGTTCTGTTCTTTAACTGTTATTTTTCCACAGATTCCTAGGGGTTTCTCTTTTGTTTTTTTAACCCCGAATTTAGTTTTTTACTTTGGAGTTCTATGATTGCTAAACCCCGTACATAAAAGTTATCTGACTGACTCTCTAGTCATGCTAGGAAGGACGGTGTGTGTGAGCCAAGGAGCTGAGACTGGACTCGCTGACCTCTCTGGAGTCCAGGGAACTCAGTATTAAACTCTCATTGACACTGAAACCTGAAATGTATATTGTATGGCCAGAGATGCAGCTAGCTGATACTTACAGGAAAGAATCTGACAATTTAAAAGCCTCTTTAAATTTGTTATGGTCATGCCTTAAGTGGTTCAGTAAATTAAACTTGTGAATATACATTAGGGGTTTCTCAAGGAAAACAGACTAACAGTGCTACAAACCCTGGGAATACTGTAACTACTGTACAATGCTAAATGTTTAATTATGTTTTGCCGATTTTAGCCATATGAAGCTGTAAGAATTCCTGTTTGGTGGGGGTTTTTTGTTGTTGTTGGTTGTTGGGGGTTGTTTTTTCTTGTGGTGGGTTGTTTGTTTTGTGGTTGTTTTTTTAATTTTAGCAATAAAGAACTTATTACATTTTTGGGTAAAATATGCTAAAGATTATTTTGAACTCTCTGTAATTAGTGTAATGTGTGCAACTCATGGATGTTTCAGCAGTTTATCAGATTAAGAAAATAATTTGCTAACACTGCCATGTGATCTCTTTTCAGATGACTGCACAAGTCACTTAAGATTATCAGGTGTTAAACAGACAAAAAACATGACATTGATCTTTCCAGTGGGCAGCAAGCAGAATAAGAATATCTAATCTCTGCAGTTGCTTGAAGCTCTATTTCTAGGTTTCCTTACAAAATTGCTTGCTTTGAAGTTAAACAGACCTTACAAAGAAAACTTCTTTGAGATTATCTCAATCTAAATAACGCAAAGCAGAACTCATTTTCTGACATGAATAAGCAGAAGTCTTTGGGATCATAAAAGGAAAGAAGTCAATGTAATTTTACAATACTAGGTATTTATATGATAAAGCTGGTCTGGCTAGCTCCTCTTGCCTAAACGCTTAGAACAGCTGGCTGTGCAGCAGACCACAGAGTCTGTTATGAACCTCCAGAGATGTGGAGCTTCACATGAGCTTTAATTATTCCTATTTCATAGACAATGGGACTGCCATAAAAACTAGAGACCTCCTCCATTGCCCTTTGAAGTCATTGTGAATTTGAGTGGGCTTTTGGAGTAATCCCTCTGCAATATCAAGAATTATATTTTTGAACGAGGTATTGTCACACAAACCAGCTCAACATAGTTCTTGCCCTGGAGATCCCTCAGGAAGGAGCTAAGAGGTTACGATTCTCCTTGTTGAGATTTTTTTCCATCAGTGATAAAATCTTTCCCAGAGCCTACGTGCATCTATAATGCTTACTTTTTTTTAAACCTGGCCTTGAGTCAAGCTCCCTTAATTAATTATTTAAATATAAACATGTACATAATGCTTTAAACTAAAATATTTACATTTTACACTAAAAATGTCATGCTGCAAAGGATTATTGAACAGTGGCAATTGTTCTGTTTCATTAACTATATCTTTGAAATACGCTAACTTATGTTAGTATTTGGATGCGTGTTGGTTAAAAGCAGACTGTAGAAATGAAACTGATAGTATGAAGTGGGGATATGAAGATAAATCTGAATTACTGACATAAGAGGGGTCCCAGAGAGGTAGCTCTCTTCCCCCAACGGAAACTCTCTGCTTGGAGTATCAGCAGGCAGAGAGATTTGGACCTTCAAGGATGGGGTTTTTTGTGTGATGATGTCCTCATGCAGTTTATTACAAAGCAATTTTGTTCTTGTATTCAAAACAGTGTGGAGGGGAGAAACTTTTCCTATAACGACACTATCAGCACAGTAATTTTGCATCCAAGGCAAGATATAGGAATATCCACAAATTTGATCAGTCATGAAGAATATGTCAATGCAATTGAAGTCTTCTCCATGCACCACATCAACAGCAAATACACAATCAGCAATGCCAGTGAACATGGGGAGCATCTTAGTCTACCCAGGAGATCTGTATGCCACATCAAGTTGCAGTACACAGAAAAAACTTTAGAATAACTGGGCAACTCTACAAATAAAGGGTTGATACCATGCAATGGTGCCCATGCTAGCTGACTTCTACAGTTCTTGCATGAGTTGCAAGTTAGTATGAGTTATGGCTGACCTGCTTCTATGGCACTGGAGAAATAACTGCAGTAAACACAAAGATAATTACCATTCCTTTCCATCAAAGAGCAAAATTATGGCCCCTCACATAGGCCCCTTCCCCAGCTTATCTCCTGTTCAACAGCTACCGTGAAACTTGATAGGCACTGAGATGCAAAAGTGAAGTTGCTAGAGGCACTCCAACACCACCTATGAGCTGAGCTGATCACAGTCAGAAATAGTCTGCTAATTAGAGATAAAAATGGTAAAAAGCAACTATTCCAGATTCTACAGGGAAAATTACATTCATTATGTTGAAAATGTATTGCAGAACAAAAGACAAACGAATCCCCCACAAAAGCAGGGTGTGCCTTGACTACTCTTATTTTTAGCACAACTACATGTGGGCTCACAAGCACTCCCTGCAAGCTTTCTCCCATTCCTACCTGTGCTCAGCAATGCCTTTCAAAGCGGAGCTAGGTCAAGACTCAGGATTTATGAAAAGGCTGTCCTAGAAATGTACTTTGCTCTGATATGATTCTGCTTTAGAGAAAAGGGGATCATCAAGTATCACTGGAAATAGTTAATCTGCTGACTCTCTTTGAAATTCAGTCTTCTGGTATAAAATTATGATCACAATGTGTTCTTAGATGTCCTTTTCTCTCTTTTTTTTTTTTTTAATTAAAATTGTCCTGAGTGGAAATTACTTCATTGAGCAGTGCTCCAGGCAAAGGAGCAAGTTCCCTTGTCCACATGCATTTAACTGACATTCAAGCCCAGGTCCCAGATCCTGGGCACTAGTCAAGGAACATTTATTATAAATTGCAGATGGGTACGCAGATGTGGAGCAACACCACACTTGTCTTGCCCTAGTCCTGCATCCAATGCTGTGTTAAGATGCTTTGGCAGCTATGTTTGCTCAAGAGAGCAGCTGAGGGATGCCCTTGCTACAGCTTCCTACTGCCAGCCACTTCCCCAGATCAGTCACAGAGTGGGGATTCAACAACCTGTTACAGAAGATCCTGATGAAGACCCACTGGTAAAGCGCCACAATGCTACCATAAAACTAACAGGACTGGCTTATGGTCTCTCAGTTGCCTACGGTTTTAATAAAGAAGTAATTCATAAATATAATGATAGAGGTAAAATATATCCTTGCTTGTGTGTCATTGATATGTCATTGGTTTGCTGTAAGATCTGGAAGAAGATATATGGCCACTATGTTTGAATCAAAGTGACAGTCTCAGACATAAAGGGATATCAATATGCAAAAAGGGTCAATAATTAGCAGAGCTTCCTTGAGAAAGGAAAAAAAAAACAGAAAAGAAAGAAATCTCATTGAAACATACCTCTGGTGTGTATGCTGATTCCAGCGAATGCCAATTCTCTTATATATAATATATGATATATAAACATATATATAGATGTAGTATATTCAAAGGATACTGCAACAAACTATCAAAAGGTGTTTAAACTCTGCCTTCAAAGTGCTTCTCTAAATGGGAGATAAAGGACATGATCTTTTGCAGGTGTGAATTTCTGTAGGCTCATGGCAGTATGCGCCAGCAGACTGTCTTCCCTAAAACCTTTAATACCATGCACAAAGTTGGAACAGGAAAGATCTATGAAAACAGATATTAACCTTTTGATAGCCATCTGATTTCTAAACAGCAGTGATACATTCTGGGCCAGATTTTAATATCAGTTATACTAAAACAAATCCAGAGTGACCCCATTAAGTTAATTCCTCTATAATATTTGTGCCTCAGTCATTGTGGTTAGACTCATGAATCTATCTCCTTGCCTGTGGCACCAGATCTTTGACAGGTATAAATCAGTGTTGCTCCATGAAGCGAGCATAACTAGGTCAATTTAAACCAGTCAACAATCCAGCCCACTACATTAACTAGTAATTGGTTTTAGGAGCAGCAGCCAGCTGTCTAGACTTCTGGGCTACAAATATGACATGGGCTTTTTACACGGATGAAGTTTCCTTCAATGGAAGATAAATTAGTTGTGTGTCCCTTTTCTATTCAGAAGTAGCATAGGCATCACACACAAATCCTTAAGCAAGATAAATTAAGTTCCTGGAGAGAGCTATAATTTAAATGAAAATCTTTGAGTTGGTGTCAAATATGCTCTTCAATTAGCACTCATCTATTCAGGCAGAATAAAAAACAGGGAAAGAAAGTTCAAAAGGCCCTACTACATACCTGGCTTCAGAGAACATGCATCCGAGCAAGGAAATGTCCTTTGACTAAAAGCCACCAGTGGGACCAGATCTAGGACTGAAGGCTGCAGCTTTACCTGGCATTTTCCACTGGCCAGCCAAGGTTAGGGAAATACAGGTAGCAAAATCAGTGAAAGAAAGGTCAGTACCTCTTGTCCCTTTCAGTATCAAAACACACACATGGAAATAGTCTTCTTTTAACTGAGAGTCCTGGAAACAAGTCAGGCTCTGCAAACACAGCTCTCACAAGCAGGAAGTGGGAATCTACGATAGAAATTTAGCAATTCCCATCATGCTGCATGAACCAGCACAAAAGCCAGCTCACATTCCCACAGCAAGAACCAGTGTTGCCCAACTACACAAGAACAGGCAAGACTCTCAGTGAGGAGCAGGAGCACTTGAAGGAGTGTCACCTTCTACTACATCATCACATTTCTGATGAGTCTGACAATCTCTGGCTACAAACATGAACCAAAGCTTCTGCTAAAGCCTCTCAACCAAAATGTAAAATTACAATGTGCATTAAGACAATCCAACCTTGTATTTCTGGTTCTTGGCTCAGCAGTTTTATCTAGCAGACCTTGTGCAGTGTATCTCTCAGGTTTCCTTATTAGTTTCCTAATCTTTTGCTCACATTATATGCACCTCTTTAAGAGGGCACTACCCGGTAACTCTGATCCTATAAATGTTTCCTTGGATTTGGGATCAATAACACCTGTGGCAACAAGAGACAGGCATATCCAGCTGAGGAGAATGAGAACTGACAGCTGAAGAGCAGATGCAGCTGGCAATACATACACAGCACTTTTCTTTCTCAAAGCCCAGCCGAATGCAATAATTAAACAAAGAGCACAAGTGCAATATTTGAATTATTTCAGCTTGAATAATTTAGGCCAGGATTTTCAAAAACCCTCTAGGGGTGAGATGCCCAATTCCCATTAAAATTAATTTAATAAATTAATTAATGAATTAATTTTAATAGGAATTGTGTATCCAAATTTCCCAGAAAGCTTTGAAAATCTAAACCTCAATTGTTAATAGAAACCCAAATAAAAAATCAGGCTTATTCATGTTCCCAGAGAAGCCAGGAGGAGTTTTGTACTGATATCAATATGCACTTATAAATTTGTATTTTCTTTTTCTATTCAATACAGGGAATAGGGATGTATTTGTGTTTTACTGAAATTGCTTTACTTTGCCTCTTTAAGTATAGTTACAATTTTTACTGGATTGAAATGCCATTCCAAGTAACTCTCTCATCCCATGTAATACTTATTTGAGTTTATCCTTCATTAAATTAATGGTGAGGCTTTCCACCCACATAAAATGGCATTGCTATTGCAGACTTTACATGAGCGGATGAGTCATTCCTACAATTTTACACTGTGGTATTCTGTTCCTCTAGGCCACTTTTCTCAGCTTTCATAGTGACGAGATGAACACATTAAATTATTCTGAGCTACTAAGTCACTAAGAAAACCCTACATCATCCTCTGGTGGAAATAAGCCAGATTCTGTTCAATGCCAGTGGGGAGAGAGTGCCTGTATTCGGATGGTTACTGGGCTTGGTGCTTTGATAACTTGTCTTGGAACAAATCAGAAGTGACCCCACTGAAAAACATGAGTCTTCATTGAATGCTTGTTTTCATAAGGTCCTCTGGGGACAGAGACAATGAACAGCATTGCTAGTGGTCCTCTTTCAGTGAGCATCAGGCTCCTGTGCCAGTTATAATTCTCTTGTGTTCACTGGGGTTACTCCTGATTTGCAGAACCCACACTAGAAAGAAAACCAGCTCCAAAGCCATACTTAGGTTAGAAATTAATATCCAATGCCAATCAGAGTGGCAGGTCTCAGTCTCCTCAGCCTCTGGAAAAAGGAGTACTTAGACATGGCTCTTAAGAGCTCACTCCAGCTCTCCCACGCAATTACTCACTAATCAAAGCAATTACGCTGCCCAAAATCACCTAATTCCAAGGGATTTATAAGTATAAGTAACTGAAGTATTTTCCATGGAAAGACACATTTTCTCTTGTATTAACATACCTAAATGCAAAATAATAACACTTTACCTTTCTTTCTCTTGGATGTCATTGGTGTCTTAGTAAGTAGATGTACTGTACTATGTTTCTGGACTTTAAACTTTATGACCCTTCCTTTCTACATCATTACATCTTGTTTAAATTAATATATTTCAAACATCTTCCTCTTTGTTTCACTCTTCCCATGCTAGTAAGATATCTTTGCCATCCAGCATGGCATACATCCTTTCAACAATGCATCAGCTCAGATTAATGCATTGTAATGTCATTATTAATTCAGTTCTACATGGTCATTTTTCATGTTCTGTTGAAGACAAAAGCAAACAAACAAACAAAAATACAATTCATTCCACACTGTCATCCCTTTGTCCTGACCAGAACAACTCGATCGTGTTGAAGAAGGCATGAACCATATCAACCAAGACATGAAGGAGGCTGAGAAAAATTTAAAAGATTTAGGGAAATGCTGTGGCCTTTTCATATGTCCTTGTAACAAGTAGGTACTGGGTACCGGCTCTGCTATGTGGTGTCCAGTTTTTTGTCACAGTGAATGTCTGAAGTTTTTGTCTTTTTTTTCTTTGTCCTTTTCCATCTGCTTCATTCTGTGGGGATAAAATACTTGTGTTTAATCAGAACAACTGGAACGCATCGAAGAGGGAATGGACCAAATCAATAAGGACATGAAAGAAGCAGAAAAGAATTTGACGGACCTAGGAAAATTCTGTGGTCTTTGTGTCTGTCCATGTAACAAGTAGGTGCTGCCTGCCTCATCTCTTTGAGCACTTAAGGCTGATCCCAAAGGCCTTGCGAAGCTCATCCTTGCTAGGCACATGGACAGGATGAGCATGTGGCATGCAGAAAGAACAATTCTGGTTCAAATGCATTCATCTCATAGCATAGACAACTGACTGGGAATTACTGTAGATGCATTAAAATCAGGCATATTGCAGTGAAAGCTTCACTGTGAACACCTTTTAATGGTAAAAGTTTCAACATTTTTCACAAAGTGTACTGAGTGGTTCCATTTTCTAGCAAACAAAAACATTGGAGCTACCTTACTCCTGACACGCTAAATTTTGAAGCATATTTTCACAAACAAGTTTAATAAACAACAAAAAAAGTGAAAAAATGCAGAAGAGGTCATCAAAAACACCACTCAAAATTCTGGATGAAAATCACACTTTTTTCATTGTTCAGCAGAAATAGTCCTTGATGAGATCTTGAAAGAGACATGATGTTTCACAATTGGAACCCAACTTGAAATGGTTTTCATCCTGCCATAGGCAACAGATTTGAGAAAACCTGAACATGTCACACCAAATTTCTTTCATTTGGGTAGCATGTACACTAAGCAGAAATGTTGAAATGCATTGAATTTGCTTGCATGCCATCAGACTTGAACAAAACTGTCCTCCAAGTAATGCAAAGCTTGTTTTAAATGCCAAATGAAAATGTGATGTGTGGTTATGTGGGTGTAGGAAAGTGAAACACAAAGTGAAACAACCAGACGTTCTTGAGGAATAGTAAATCCAGCATGCAGTGAGCAGGCATGCAACCAAGTTACAGTGAAAACATTCATAAAAGGTTGGCCAGAGATTGTGCAGGAAACAAAGCAGAGTGCAGTGGTTCTTTAGTATTATACTCTGATTCTGCATGGCACAGATACTTTGTTCACAAATAGGGCCTGATCCTACCATGATTATCAAGACCAAATGAGAGCGAGCTGTCATGGGAGTTCAGAACAGTAGGACTGGGTTTCTGCCTTAACAATTGCCATTTATTTTGAAGTTAATTCTTCTGGGACAAAACGCAGATACAGCCTCAGCCTTAAAAAAATCAATTTTGCTCATGTGTACCAAGCCACAAATACTTTGGTAGGGTAAATATTTTGCCAGAATATGTGTACTATCGCCTTGGTGTGCAGAATGGGAGAGAGGCAAGGAGGAATGAAAAGATCTGCATGCACACACACAGCCTTTGTCAGCGCAACTGTCTGGAGTTGGTATCAGCTCTGATACAGGCTTTAACCCTGCTGTCCTGCACCAGAGGACCCAGTGTAGAAGAGCCACAGGAACAAGAATATGCAGCAGAAACTTTACATCTCCCACACTCTAAAAGCTGTTGCAACTTGAAGAGGAACACTGTCTTAGCTTGCTCCTCCTAGAGAAACCTGGCATAATGCCAAAAGTTCACCCTTGAAATACAATTCCAATGCATTTTGCAGGAATCTTCATTTTTTAGCTTTAATGTTCTGTACTGTGGGAAAGGCTGCTCAGAACTAACAGCCACATCTATGGCATGGATGAAGTTAGCACCTGACATGGTCTTAAACATTAACCACTTCACAATGGTTGTAGTATCATGAAATCAAAAGATGCAAGAACAGAAAGATACTGCAGGCATTCAGTGTGAGGGATGTTCATTTTTAAAGGTGTCTTCTCCCTGCTTTAAGGCAGTATTATGACCTTTGCAGTCTGCATCTAGATTTCATAGACTAGCATTGCTAATCAGTCAGCATGTTCAGAAACAGTATGGGTGAACAATTCTTTCAGAGATTGTTCTTTGAATCACTATGCCAGGACTCAACTGGTACGAATAAGATGATATTTTGAGAAATAGAGTGTAGGAGGGAGAGAAATCTGTACAGTTCTGGGCAACGGTATAACCATGATTCTCTAATGCTCTTCTGGCTGGTGGTAGATTAATGTCATATATTTTAAAAAGATTAACCATTTCACACATAACTATACTCTGATATACAGATTAAATACAACTCTGTGAGCCTTACCACAATATAAGGCTTGATTCTACATTCTTAGGAGATCCAAAATGCCCATGGCGTGGAACATTGACCAGATTACAGTCAAAAGAACAACTGCTATTGACCATGAGCAGACCCAGACTCCACCTGTTGACTTTAATGGGAAGTCCACAAGAAAACAGAGATCAAGTTCTGGATGTATATAAATCCTTTACCTCAAACACAGAGACTGTCTCACTCTCAAAGTTGCACATGTCTAAAGAACAGGCAAATACCTGTAAGTGTATGTGTAGCAAGGGAACTACTTTCATTCATTTCTAGAAACACCAAAGCTGATGTATAGTTTTAGAGAGCAAAGAACAAATAAGCCAACCATCTTCTTTTTAAGTCTTCACAAATTTTAGTAGGAAATAAGCAATAAAACAGATGTGTAGGAAAGCTCCTCTTTTCATTTATATTTTAATTCTATATTGGAGCATGCGACACATATTCAGGCTCAACTGAAGATAAGCTGCTTCAGGGCTCATGGAGACAACATAACACTGGAGATGCGTTTGTTGTGTCCTCTTCCAAATTCCCCAGAAGCATGTTCAGTTTCTCCCCCAGAATCCAAGCCACAGGGCACTTTGTATGACTGATTGGACCTGAGTGAACAACAGGGAAACCATGGAGGCTTGCGGTTCCCAACAGCTTTGTCAGAAATTGCTCCATTTCCAGAATAAAATCAAGAACTTATACCTACAGCCCCCGAATGCTCACACTTTCTTGTTAAAATGTTCAATCTCATCTGATCACCCCAGTGACAGCAACCCTAAATATGCTGCACATGCTAATCTGCCACTGAAGGTATGCCTGGATTTTAAATTTCTGTCCACGGCAGCTCAGTCAAAAATGGCTCTCTGAAAGCTAATGTAACTGTCCTAAACAACAAATATAACAAGTTGCTAGGCTATTTTAAAGTCCTGTGGTTTAAAGCTCCTGAAGGAAGTGATGATCCATTTTTGCCTGTGTCTTGCTTACTGTGAAGGCTGTTACTGCTAATGCATTAAGAGTATGATGAACTATTGGGGCAGCTGTGCTTAATGAGAATGCTTTACTTCTTATTCATGCCTGTAGCTGGTGCATGAAGAAAAATGTAGAAAAACTTCCCTTTCTGATGCTAGATTGCTTGTATCTTTTCTTTTCTCCTGCACTCATTTCACTTCTGCCTATTTTACTTTTTGTCTCTGTTGACAAAGGTTTGTACATCAGCTGTCGATGTATGATTACTATTTTCAAGTACCGATATATTATTTGAAAATCTAATGAATCCTATGAATTTTATTATAAAATCATCTCCTAATCACCTTGGGAAAGGTTAGTGGCTTTAAATGCCTATTATGCCACATTCACATTAATAAATAAATATCAAGAGAAGCTTAATCTTCTGCCTGGTAAAATGTTAAAATCTAGCCAAATCTGTTTTTCTCTAAGAGGGTGTGTTGCTGTGATGTGATGTACACACTATACTTGGCAGTTTTGTTTTTATGTCTGTCTGCCAGTATGTTCTCTGTGTTGGATGTCAAAATGTATGTGTCACTGAAATGAAACAATGTTTTCTACTTATTTGTATTTCTTCTCTTTTTCTTTCTTCATTTTCCTTTTTTTTTTTCCTTCTTCTTCTTTCTGGAAACTAAGTCAACATCCAACCTGTGTGCAGTGTTGTAAACTTGACAATTGCAATTCACCCTATTGGAAACAAAACCTCTGTCCCTGACAGCTGTGGCAGTAAAGTGAGAAACCAAAACCAAAGCCCCTCCTTTCATTCAGGGTTATGATATATCGGTATACAATCAATGACCCTCTATCCGAAAACTCATTTGCTTGATTCAGCTTTTAGCTTGGAGAAGTAAAATTTTTGCATTTGCCGTTGTCCACTTGATGTTTCGTTACTCAGCCTCTTCTTTGCATAGGCTTAAATCAAGCGATGCTTACAAAAAAGCCTGGGGCAATAATCAGGATGGTGTTGTAGCCAGCCAGCCTGCACGTGTCGTAGATGAACGGGAGCAGATGGCCATCAGCGGTGGCTTTATCCGCAGGTGAGCCTTTTTATCCACTGTTTTCTCTCTATTTTCCCTGACACTGATATATTTAGATTTCTTCCATATGGTCATGAGTTCTGTGATGCTCATTAACTCCTTCAACAGTGCTGGCTAATGCTATGGAGCCAGTGTTTTCCACTGAGTGGTGGGTGCTCAGATTTAGGTTGACAGCAATTAAGATGGGTACTAAGGACTTACTGCATCCACTGACTTTCCCTGGCCCCGTGGGTGCTTGCCTGAGCTAATGCAAAGGATGGTTACATTGCTGGAAATCCTGGAAGTCCAGGTCTTAGCCCAGAGAACCAGAAGATGCTTGAAAACATGGCCCTAGGCCTTCCTCCTTGACACTGGCCAGATTTGGGCAATAATAAAATGGAAATAACATCTATTTATTTACTTCACAGCAGCAATGTGAGGCTGCAGACTGTCATGGCCAGTCAGCACTGTCCTCTGCACTCCAGCTCCTTGGTGTGAACAATGCACTTTTCCCAGGGACCTTATTATGGGTCTCATTAATGACAGTTGTCAAATGCCTCAGAAATGAGGTGTCAGATAAATACTAGTTTATTATTATCATGCCTCAAGATATATAGTGCTCATTATCCATCCTTGTCAGAAGATATATCAAAGCATCTGGTACTCCTTCCTTTCTTATAAAAAAGAGCCTCTGGCTCTCTGCTAAAGCTCCAAGCCAAGCGCAGAACTTGAAGCACACTTTTAACTAGAGGTACACCACTTCCCTGCTTGTGTCTATCCAGAAAACCTCACTAAATGGGCAATGATGTCCCGTTCCTCAGCTGCTATAAAGCCAAAACCATGGAGAAACATTGATGCTTTAGCGGCAACCCCTGTGCACTCAGATGAAAGCCAGTTTGAAATGCACAGCTACACTAATGGCAACCAAATTGCAAAATTTCAGCGATACGTAGGGATCCAGCAGTAAGTACATACTGATTACAGTGGTTATAGAGCATGTATTTAGATGACAATGCTATCAGCTGAATGGATAAAGGCATACCAGTAGGCAAAGCTTTGATCTCTGAAGATTAAGGACACTGGATTAATAAGTAATTATCTTTCCAAAAACTATTATCCACTTATTTTTTTGGCTACTGTGATAAAGGGAAATCAGTGTGATAGAAACAATGCTGTCATGCAATCTGGAGTGTGGGATGGAGTTGCCATTTAAGTTTGCTGGGTCTGCCGTTCACTTTTTTTTTTTATTTCTGGATGGCAGCCCCACCAAAATGAAGGGTGGGCATGATAAGAGAATAGCAGTGACAAAAATTATGCCAGACCATAATTACTCTGCATATAGCATGTAGTGCACTTTTGGCACCTACATGAACACAAATTGCACAAGAGGCTCAAAGTAGTGATTTTCTGAGTGTCACCCATGGACCTTGCTTTTCCCAGTGTCAGTCACCACATGCCTCTCCAGTTACTGAAAATTTGAAATAGACCTTGGCTCAAGTGCAAATCCTTCAGTCTAGAAAACTAAGAGGAGAGACAAAGGATCTTTACTAAATCCAGTAAATCTGAGAGAAGCTGCTTCTATCATTTAGCAGAAATGTATTTCATTAAATAGGAGGTTAGGTCAGGATTTTAACAGCTGAAGCAGCTCTTCCCAATATTTCAGTGAGGTCCAAGTCTATGAGGACTGGACTGTACCCACATGGAGTTCAAGGAGGGGAGCTGACACAGCTTCAGTTCCACCACCTTCCAACATTTCCAACATACTCTAACCACACACAGGTCCAAGTGGAGCATCCTGTCATTCTTTGTTTGAGAAGGACCATCACTAGCAGAAAGGTGCAGTATGTGGTACAAACAAGCTCAAACGGCAACATTTCTAGGAGTAGCAGACACGAGCAGTAAAAATGGAGGACTAGTGAACTTGGACAATTAATCCCAACATCCAAAAAATAAGCATGTAGTGTTTTTCAGGCTAGCTACTTATTAATCCCTTTTCTTCAAAGCTGAGCTCAGCAGCATGCTCCTCAGGTGACAAGCGAAGGAGGATGCAGGGGAGGTTTCAGATGAATCAGAGTTTCAGGGGGAACCTCCTCTCTCTCTTCTTCAAATAACTGATTTTTTGCTCCCAGGGTAACAAACGACGCACGGGAAAATGAAATGGATGAGAACCTCGAGCAGGTCAGCGGCATCATTGGCAACTTACGTCACATGGCCCTGGACATGGGCAATGAGATCGACACACAGAATCGCCAGATTGACAGGATCATGGAGAAGGTAAGAGATGACATTTCTAAGAGGACCCCAAAAGGGGCTGTGTTTTCCAGTTTTATTCCATGCTCCAGTTTTTCTACAACTCAGAGGACAAGGGACAAAAGTAGCTGCTAGAGCTTCTCTCTCTTCTCCCTCCAAATCATTGGGCCACAGAAAAGCTTGTTGCTGTGGATCTTCAGTAGCCTCCAGTGAAGGTCAGGTTGAACCCACACTTTTTGGGTTTGCAAGACAACAGCTGGCAAGAGGATCCTTTAGCACAAATCAAAGCTCCTTCCGCAACAGCTTTGGGAAGGGAGAAATGCCTTGAGCTGTGCAGAACTGCAAGGCTTGGGTCTGGATGCCCTTCCACTTCCTGTCAAGTTTTAAGCTTTCCTGGACTTTCTTTCCCTTGGATATTCCATGAGCAATTGAGAATTGGATGACCTGCTTGGAGGATCAGTCCCAAAAAAGGACAGGGATTTATGAAGCTAGACTTTGTCATACAGTCACAGTGCAGCCAGTCTTCTCATGCTGCCTGCTTATAACTACATTAGGACAGAGATCTATCAGCCATCTTGGGGGTGGGGGCGTGTGTATATATATGAGTGTGTACATATATATTTGTTACATATATATATACACACACATATACACACATACACATATATAAAAAAACTGAGGCTCAGCATTACTATTGCTAACTTGCCATCTAAAAAGGCAGAGAGCACCGTTCCAGTACCAGACCTGCATTGCAGATTTCTGAAGCAGATAGCAGCACCCTCCAAACCCAGCTGGGAACTCGCTGCTGTCCTCAGATCCCAAGATCTGCGAGCCATCTGCATTCATACTGGCAAAGCTCCAGGCACAGGGACAGCCAGCCTGAAGTGACATAAGAGGCTAGATCTTCATCTGGTGTAAAATCAGTACAACACTTGACTTCAGCTGAGATTTACACAACCTGAGGATCTAACCCAAGGACTTATATGTGCTGCTTAGAGTTAATGCTGACCTTAAGTGGTAGAGCTTGTACTCTTGAGCCTTTTTACACGTGCAAGCCTTCTCACACAAGCAGGATGCCCATGCCTATCTTTCATGTCAATTAAGTACATCAGAGCCTAGTGAAAAAATTAAATACTGCACTGAGGGATTCACTCAGATAGGTTTCATTATTGGAGTTTGATCCCAGAGAGAACTGGGTGAAGGATTGTCTTAAAGGTGGGAAGTTCATCTCTGATAGAGACACAGTCACATAACACAGTAGACCACATTCTTTTATGTTGATCAAAAGTTTTGTACTATAAAGCTGCATCTGTTAGTTTGACTGTATTGGAAAATGCACGGTACTATTGTAATGCCATTCTGTAGCATTTCATATTTCTGGGAAGAATGAAATAGGAGCATGGAGGGAAGGATTTACTGCTGTTATTCATAGGAAAAGCACTAGAAAGCAGCACATCTATCTAAATTGCAAGAAGGAACTGGAAGATTATACAACCTACATCATAACTACCTTTAAATAAGCAGTCTAGAATAAATATTATTTTCTCAGAGCAAGTGTGAGGACATGCACTATTACATGTTACCAGCTACCCTATTCATGACAAAACACAGTGGTAGGAGACATGCCTTATGGATGGAAATCAGCTATGTCCTATCCAAGCCTGCAGGATACTATTAGAAACAACAGCAAGCCTAACTAGGCACGGTTCTCCTATCAGTCCAGGCTTGCAAACATCCAGATTTCAAAAACATTGGCCAGGCCCTTTGTGTATATAAAGCACATGGGCCAGATCTCCAGGCAGCACATGCTGAGAGTGGTTGGCTAACTGAGGGACTGGCCTCCCACATCTATGCAGTTGTCTTACAGAGTTAGGCAATAGAAAAACAACAGCGCAAGCTAATGTGATTCATTAAATCCAGCCTCACGGGCAGGCCTCGTCAGGCAGAGTCCTTGGCTAAAGAACAGTGACACATTTCTGAAATATGGACTTGCAGTGTACACACAGAAGTTGTCATAAAAGCAGCTTAAAAATAAGGCAGTCTTCAGCCTTGGCGAAAATCTGTCAAACATCTCAGAGTAAGGACACACAGTAATAAGATACTAGAAGAAGAAACACAATTTATTAGGAAAACCCTCTATAAAAACAGAAATGACAGTTAACCAGATAATACTGAAACCACAAATACATACACATCCATTTTGTAATGAAATATGCCAATGGACCAATGTCCCTAGCTGGCGGTGGGCATACAGCATTGCTGGAGTTGTTTTCTTTTCCTGACCAGCTGGAGCACTGTGCTTTTGATCAATTATGGCCATTAGAAAGACCTTGGGCTGGCACATTTTGCAAAAGATGGGGTCCATCACAAAACTAACCCAAATGCTGTTAAGAGCATTTATGTTAAACTGGATGCATGCGTCCAAACCAGAGCAATCTCGTAATGCAGAGATGTAATCTGATCTATCCCCAGTAATCAGAACAGCTTTATTCTTCCCTCAGATCAAAGAGACAGAAACAAAAACTAAAACGATAATGTGATGACTAGGTCAAATGGCCCAGACATCATTACTAGAAGATCCTGGCCCTAAAATGAGCCAGAAACAGGAGGCTGGGAGGAAAGCTGGAAGGGCTCAATGCATTTTGTCTTGACCTAGGTGGGAAGGTCTGCACAAAGACTCTCTCTGACTTCAATGCAACATAATCTGCCAGAGTTAGACCTTAGCATTCTTTCTTAGCAACATTATGTTTCATCAATATTCAATCAATATTAATATATTTAATGACAAATGTAACTGCTTCCAAAACCCTTAAATTATTTTTTCAGGTAGTCTTTTGGCAAAAGCACACAAAACTGTACTGTGGTAGATAAGGTCAAACTCATGGCTAAAATAAAGAAGTGTGGCTTATAATGAGTAGTTATGTTGATTTATGACTGTTGAGGATCTGGGACATGCTACTGTACTAAAAATACACATCTACATAGTATTTCCCAAAATGATTATGGAGAAAAGCCCAAGATATTTAAGAATGATATATTGCACATCAGCATAACCATTTTTAAAGGGTTTTATAAGTGTATCTGGGAAAATTTCTTCACCATTCTGTCTTTGCAAATTGGAGATTTAAAATAAATCTGTACAATTTGGATACACACCAGAGATGTCGTCAAAGCTAACAAAATGCAGCCATCAAACCACAGAAAAGAGTTTGCTATTTGAGTTCATGCTTTTAAAGCAGTAACGCAATTCTCACCTTTCCCACAGGTCTGATTTAAAAAACTGAAAACATCTATCTAGTCCCTCTTCTAGTGTAAGTTGGCATAGCAACATGGGCTTGAATGGAGTTTGCCAATTTTTGTCAGCTAAAACAATGTCTTTAGCCTCCAAAACTAACTTCTGCAGAGCTACAGAAAGCCATGGTCAAAGTGTCTTCCCACTCAAAGAGAAGTCCCAAACCTCCCAAGTGGTGCTGCTTTATCGACAGCAAATTGTATAATTATGGCAAATATTACCCCATGGAAGACAGAGAAGCTAGCAGTTCAGCCCATTCTTGACTAAATTCCAGTTTTATTGCTTCAAATAAAAGTAGAATGCCTGCTTTTTCTTAATTCCTGTTTATACTGCTGCCCAATGAAAGAGTTTACTACTCTGTCTTGCAACTACACTAGTGAACTTTATTGAAAGGAATAATGGCATCACTCCTACCTATTCCTTTCCTTTCACATGTAGAGCAAAGAGATCCAGACTGATGTATTTTCAAATACAGTATCTTTGCCAGTATTCCCAACATCAGATGATATAGCTTCCCTGCTCCAGCCATTCTCTACACTGACCAAAATTTCAGTCTTGACTGCATGACTGGTGATCTAAATCAGAACAAAGTCCAGATCCACCAAATTTTAGAGGGCACTGAAGCTTCTCACTGGTAACATCCATGTGCACATCATCAGTTCTCATCCTGTCATCTATTACCATCAATACCACTAGCACCATCAATAGCACCAGCTACAGATCTGGTGCAGCATTTACAAGAGTTCAGTGGAGCTGAATACAAACATGAAAGCTCTACTCAAATCCTACCTAATATGTCACAAAATCAGAAAATCTGTTATTTCCTTTTGGGTCCCTAATACCACTATAAAAAACAGCTCACCAGTATTTTCAAGCTTCTTTTTTTTTTTCCTGACCTAGCCAAAACTAGAGAACTGTCCACTAAGCATTGTAGGTGTTCTCTTTCTGCCCTTTATTCACCTGCTTCTTTCCTTTGTGTCTCCTTAGGCTGATTCCAACAAAACCCGGATTGATGAAGCCAACCAGCGTGCAACAAAGATGCTGGGCAGTGGTTAAATGCAGTGAAGTGCATTTCCTTTTAATGCTGTCCGACAGGGCAGTATCTTCATGCTTTTATCATGGTATTTACCTACTAGGTTTGCACACATGCACATATCAGCCCCATTGTAAATGTTGTCCTGTGTAGTTTGTCAGCTTTCCAAAAATGATACTTGTAATTATTTTTTTCTAGATATCATTCTTTCCAAAGGTTGTACATAGTGCTGATTTGATGGCTATAGCTCATTATGATGTTTTTTGGCATTTTTCCTTTCCTTATTTCTGTTTTGGATTCCTTTCCTTTTTTTTCCCTCTCTTCCTTTTTTTTAAATGATGTTTGCTGAATGACAACACTGTTGGAATGCTAAACGTGCTGTTAACCTTTAAATATGCAGTATTGTTCTTGTAAAACTGTGACATTCCACAGAGCTACTGCCATGCTCCTGTCTTTGAGTATCATGATGTTTAAGCACTTAAACCTGCTGTCTTCAGTTCTTCATTGCCATTATCTGTTGTTATGATTTAATGATTAGACAATGTGGAATTATATAACTATAACAAGCATTGCACTAAAAAGTGATGTGATTTATGCATTTATGCATGAGGAATAAATAGACTTTTAGACTCCTACTTAAACAAGACTTTTCCCATGGCAGTAGCACACCAACAATGACAACAAAAGCATGCTCAGTATTCGGACTCTTTTGGGACTATGTTATACCAGCAAGTTTGCAGTCGTGCCACTTTTTTCTTGTTGATATATATATATATAGTTATTAATCATGATAATTTTTTTTTAATTATGAAAAAAGAGGGATTTGGCACTCACCATTTAGCCATTGCCAGCAAAATAAAAGCTTGGCTGAAAATATGTCAAAGACAAAAAGAAATAAGTGTAATATATTGGGTTTGTCTGCTGCTTTTGAAGACTATCTTTTGGAGGAAACGACTACCATATGAAATGGTGCAAAGAAATGTAATTTTTATAAAGGCTCTCTCTTACTAGTCGCTATCCCCATGTGGTTTGTTATTGGTACAGTTCTCTGTTGCTTACCTAGAGCTATGCACACCAAATCGCTGAGATGTTTAGTAGCTGACTTAATTAAAAAATAATAAAAAAACCTAAATGAATGAACTCTAGATAAACTGTGAGATAAATATAATTTATAGCATGTAATATGAAATTCCTTATGTCTCCTGTCAGTTTGTGAAGTGATTGACATTTTGTAGCTAGTTTAAAAATTATTAAAAATTATAGATCTCAGAATCCATGCTTGCTTTATCCATTTGTTGCCCTACCTGTCAGTGACAACTGTTGCCACTTACCTGGGAAAAAGAGAAGCGGAAAGAAGTCTAAAGACTCCTTACAAACTGGTTCTGTATTATACGTGGGAAACTAAAGATTTCTGTTTGCAATCCTGTATAGAAGTAACTACTCTAAAAAAAGCATTTTACACTCAACACATAGCAAGTGAATATTCTTTAAAATAACCTGGCTTGGGTTGCTAAACACTGAATCAAGATAAATTCTCTTGTTCAAAGGAAAGAAAAAATGAACTAAATGTTATGGTACAAAAGGATATGGTTCCTTAGTCAACAAAATCTATTCCTGTAATGGATCTAGCCACATGCTAATACACCTCTTTTCAGGGAACACTTTGAACTACAGGGTTTGTATAGTCTGCTAAGAATAATTTTTTCAAATTACTAACAACAACTAATGTTTACCGCCAATGAAAAGTGTTATCATATTTTCCCAGGGCTTTTTTCCCTATATGGACAAATTATAATTAACTCTGCATGAGTGACAGTTCACTCATGTGTCTCACATGGCCCTAAGTCAAAATACACAAAGAACATAAATGCTTGCATAATTAAAGTCGCATGATAATGTAGACAAGCTATATTTTTTTAGCAGCTTATTATTTTTAGTATCTATTAAAAATTCATATATGCAAATATTTTCCCCTAGTACTTCAAACCAAAGAGTAAACTTCAAGCAAATGTTTTTAATCTGCTGACCATTTCCAATCCTGTTTGTTCAGGGATTCTAGTATTTGTGACAGCATTATCATTCTGCAATGTCTAACTGAAGGGGGGCAATAATCATACTGGAAAATGCGTCAGCATGGGAACATACAAATATGAGGATATTTGAGAAGGGCAAGAAATACATAAGAAAGTAATGAAGATATTAATAGAGGTATTATTCTCATCTGTTTAACAAGAACACACCCTATCTGAAGATCATACTTCCAAAAGTCATAGTAGCTGATCAAAAATATAAGCTGTTGCTGTGAAGGAAATCACTGTGTTTTGACATCTGGTTTTTTTTCTTGAACAAAGATCAAAGCCCAAACTATTGGAACTTTTTGCCAAACAGAAGGTTTAAAGGTTATAAATATTGAAATGTTTAATTGTATTTGTCTTTGTATCCTCCTCCACTGTATGTAGGGTCTCTTAGGAGCTGGCTGAAAATGACTTAAGTAAATAAGTTTCATACATTGCATTTCTCTGATGTTCTTGGAAATTGACTTTTATAGGATTAATTGTTCTTGAAATAATTCAAGAAAGGCTCAATCTCATGGAGTTTGTTATTAGAACAATCCACTCTGTTTGTTAAGTTTTGTGGACACCAAATCCCTGATGTAGCAGTTGACTCAATAGCAAAAAAAAAATAAAAAAAGAAAAAAAATTAAAACCAACACTCAAATGTGGCATTTCCCATTTTTTCCCTTGTCTCCCTCTGGCCAGCCCCTGTTTCCCATTAGAGGCTGCAGACTTTCCCTGAGGCTGAACAAGTACAGTGCACAGTTACCCACATGAGGAGGCAAGGCTCACTGGACGGAAAGGGACAGAGCAAGGAGCTGGAATTACAACTCCCATAAGATAAAATGATCACATTGGGTGGTTTTTGTTTCCACAATCAGATTTTTCTGAAGGCAAAGCCTTCTTATCCTGGTAGGAGATTTCCCTTTGACCATGTTATATCTTCCAATCAGTAATTTCTTTTGTCTTTGTACCAGTGCCATGTGGAAATCCAGGCTTGAGAAGAAAAAAAAAAATTGAAGTGCTTGAAGACACAAAGCTTCATGAAATATCACTTATTTTTAGACTGCTAATGCAATTTCATGAAGAGTTTGTGTGCAACATAGCAAAATCCTCTCATTGGTGTTGGTTTGAGGTGGTCACAGGGAAAAAGTTTTTTCATATTCTCAAAATGAACTACCCAACTGGATTATTCAAAATGTTGCTTAAAAACTGAAGTCCAACTAAAAGACAAACTTCTGCTGAGCTTTACAAATCCACAATTAATTACTTCTTTCATGTCACGCATTTGCCTCCTTTCCTAGTCTAGGCTGGAAATGGAAATATCAAAATAATCCCATGGAAGGATATTTGAATGTTATTCCTTTACAGAACAAAATTCATCAGTGTAATATCTCACGCAAAAAAAATAATAATAAAAAAATCACCTTCATTTAATACCTGGCCTGATTTCAGCAGTGAGAAACTACAAGAGAAAACCAGAAAATCTAAGTAAAAATCACAGTGGCTTATCTGAAAGAAACCTTAAAAGTTTTAGGATGTTAATGATTCCCAGCCTTAGCATAAATACACAGCTTCTAAACTCAAAACTAACTGTTATAGCTTTCCAGATTGACACAAATGCAAGAAAAAAAAAGCTATGCATCATGGAGAGTGCCTTGTGGTTTGAAAGAGCACATCTTATGAAAAGCAGATGGACTTGATGTCAAGGTATGGAAAGAAAAATACTTGATTAATATTCCTTGAAGATTTGGTGGTATTACTGTATATAACAGAAAAAAACCCTCTAAAAACCAGTGATGAGTTTGTTGGGGTTTTTTTAAAGAAATGTAAATTTTATTAGCTTTCGTGGATTAAATGCATTAAATCCTTAATTTCTGAAGAAAACCAAATACGCCAGAGTTTACATGGCAAACTATAAAGCATCCTCTTAGAAAGATGTCTGTGCCGCATGAGACACTTATTACAGATACACTTTAAATCCTCTAGAAATATAGATGACAGTTATTCTCCAAAATGCTCTGTGTGCCACACTAATAACTGACAACCTCCCCAGGCTTTGGACATGCACCCGAATCTGGAGAGATTGCGCAATACTTTTAATTGTGGGCGTAGAGGCAGATGAAGCAATTCCTGCACTTTTTTTCTCCCTCTTTCTTCTCCTGTGTGTACATATGCACATATAAGTATTTTATTTTAAAGGCACTGAAAAGGGAAGAGATGAGCACTTAGTAATAGCAAAAATTGTGTGTGTAAGACACAGCTTAAGTATATGTACTGCTGCTGTGTGTGCCTGTGGGTGTAGGTGCGCAGGATGTGACTGCTGTCTTCTGAGCCATTTTGTTGCCTTTCTCGAGAAAGATGGGGACAGTTTGTTTGGAAGTTAGTAGAATATAAATAGAGTACTTTTAAACCTGCAAGTAGCTACAAGAAATGTAGACACAGGAGATAAACCCTGCTGAGAAGTTAGGGCATTGGGCTGGTTTGATTGGAGGTGGAGGTGGCATGTTCTGGCTGATTTATTTTGCAAAGCACTTGCCAAATAGTGTTGGATCCTCTCTGCAATGGTATTAAGAGACATTGTGTTTGTGTTGTAAAACACCAAGAAGTTTTAATGTATTTGGTTTTGAATGTTATTTTGTATTTAAAATTAGTAATTTAAAACAAACAAGCAAACAAAAAACCCCAAATCCACAAAATGAAAATAAATCATGATGTGGGACCACACAGATTCCCACGCATTTGGGATCTATTCCAAGGTCACTATTGCTCATGCAGAAACTGCTTATGGTGGGGTACACAATTGGTCAAGCAACAGGTAGTAGCTTGAGGATATGCTCATTTGCCTTGTAGGCTTCACAGCTGCTTGCTGAAAGTGAAAAGTAGCAACTCTGTATCAGGACTCAGGTATTGCTTTGGCTAACAACAGGGGGTGAGTCTTTAATTGCACAGTCCCAGCCTTGAACTGCCTTTTCTCACCACCTATCAGACCACAGCTCCCTCCACACTGCACCTACTTCACTGCACCTCTGTCCCTTTCTCTCCTTGCTCCCTCCTACATCCCCCCAGTACCTACCCAATTGCTTCCTTTCCTATTTCTTGCACTGAATTAGCCTGTCTTCAGTCCTGTCCCTAATTTTACTTGCTTCACAACCCTCCACCTGCAGGTTTTTCAGCCCTGGGTTTACAGTCAGGTTCTCTTTTTTTATTGATTTTGTCAGAAGCAGCACCAAAAAGACAGCCTCCTGCTTTCCAGGCCACAGCTGACCACCATGCCAGTGTCACTGGGAGGGACACCTGCAAAAAAGTCTAGCTCAGCCCTGACAGTTCCAGAAGACAGCATTGCATGTTGCCAGGGAAATTTTTTTGATAGTCTATCCAAAATGAACTAAAAAGTCTCTCTATGTTGACGTTAACAAAGGTGTTTGGGCAGCCGAGGACAGACAGGCAAGCACTGGGTAGGTATTTCACAAGAAGGCAACAACCGAGAGGCCCTGCAGCCTGCTAAATGTTACAGCTTTGGCGCACAGCACTAATGGGTAACAGTGCTTCTTCACGAGACAGCTGGAGAATCTTTTCTAACACAGGCAAAACAACTTTCCTTTCCTTCTTCCCCAAATTTCACTCATTAAAACTACCAAGATTTTGTTTTCATTGTTTATTTTGGTTTCATTATTTTGGTTTGGTTGGTTGTTCTTTGTTTTGTTGTTGTTGTCATCCTCATTGTCTTGGTTTTTGTTTGTTTGGTTCGTTGGGTCATTTTTGTTTGTTTGTTTGGGTTTTTTTTGGTACTGAAGCTTTTAAAAGGTGTGTTTTCAAAAAGCAGGTAGAGGAAGCAGATTTCCATCACCTCACCTGGCATAATGATCCAGGGCTGGGTTATTTAATCTGAAACCCAGAACAGCTCAAGTTGGCATAAGAAAGTTAAAATTAAATACTATATTGGAAATGGTTTAGCAAACTTTGCTATGGGGAGTTCTAAAATTTGCTAAGTGTTAACTTAAATACAGGCAGCTGTAAGTTTTACTTACAGTGCAGTAGGTTTTCCATCTAAATTCTGATCAAAAGTTCATTGAAATGAACAAAATGGTTCTTTTCTATATTCATGGGGAGTTGATTGCACCCCCGAAGTATGAATGAATATGAGTAAATCTCACTGCACTAAGGGTATTCTTGGGTATTAAAACCAACAGCATGCAAATGTGAGCAAAGTATGTTTAAAAAACCTTACCTATTTTGACTCCATTGTACAGTACACCCATACTTTACTATATCAACAACAATAAATCCAGCTGATGATGGCATTTTCTTAACTACTTTTGATGCTCTGCAGGACTTCTAAAAGGCTAAGTGACTCTAGATTCAGTTTATAAACTCCAAGAAAACATATACTGACAAGTTAATTTTGAATAAACAGCAGCTATAATTCTGATGTTCAGCCTTAAGGCTTTATCATAGAACATACTTTCAATCTCCACTGAACATTTCTGT